ATATATTGCTTTACTAAATTGCCACTGATAATCATTATCACACAATAAACAACAAATTATCGTATGAGACTAAACACTTTATTTAATGCAGATTATTTTATGGGGAAATGGATCTTGTGACAACTAAGGATTTATCAAAATAATAAAACTATCTATTGATAACATAATCTGCTTACCTTGTAAATAGATTCCCACTGGGTGCTCAAACCTATCAAGCAAATAGGTTAAAAAAATAATAATAATAATAAAATGCACTTTTTTTTTTTTTTTAAATGAGGATTTCTAAACCCTCATTAACCAGGAGGCACCAGGTAATTTCGTCCCTCCTTTACCCTTACCACATCTGCGGGCACAACAGTAAAAAAAAATATGTGTGGCCAACCACCACTGGCCATGTGTCACCTAACAACTGGATGATCTAGTCCTCCACTATCCTGGTCTAACACGCTGCCTATGGTAATTTACCAACTAAAATTCCTCTTAATAATCTCCATCCTATTAGTAATAGAGTAGGGAGGTACCAATAATATAATGGGGGGTGCTGCCAGTGGTCCCTCATGGTCAGATGATGGTGTCCAATAGATCCAGCAGTGGACAGCCGGAAGCTTCTCGCTGTTAATTACAATCATCCACTGTGCAGTAGGATGAGGGGTTGATGAATAATAGGGAGATGCCAGCACTTAGTCCATCCTTACTACCTTTTCAAATAGTTATGTGCCTATAGGCCTGGAGTCAAGGACACTGTCCATCATTGAAGTGGCTATAGCGCGTAGAATATCCATTTAATTCCCTACCCATGGCTGGTTGGGGCTTGCATTAATAATAAGGAGGGAGTCTCAGTTTTCTTCTTTAACAATACCAGGAATTGCCCAGTGTAAGTCCCAAAAAATCTAAAATACAAATGTTTAGTTTTGCAATACAATATAAATTCCTAGAAGTTTTCAGTTCAGGTATAACTTTCCATTCATTGGCCTATGATCAGCTTTAAGTGTGCTGAAGTGGTCATGGTGCCAGGAGTGGCCTTGCACACCCCCAGAGTACATAGTAAAAACGTTTCCTAACACCAGGCACCTCATCCATTGAGAGCAGGAAGCTTCTGGTTCTCAATCAAGGAAATACTAAATCTATGGGTTGTCTTCAAACAGGCAATTCTATTGATCTAAAGGCCACTGAACCCTGGAGGTTACTTGTCAGGAGAAAGATCTAGCTATCATGTGTACTGTAAATAATGATAATACATTTAGCAATCATCCTGGTTTAAATGTAATAGGACCTTTTGGTTAATGGAGTCATTAAAAGCCAATCAATTGCCAAGGAGCACTGGAGTGTATTACTAGTATGTGTGGTGGTGTGTTTGAAAGTGGGAATAAAAGAGCGTTATACCAGTATAAGAGTCAACTGTATTGGAAATACAGGAATAACATGGGCTAATTTTTCTGCTTGCTGAGTATATAAATGAGTGGTATATAGATAAAGTACAAGTGTAGCAATGAGAAATCTGTATAATAGAGAAGGTAAATAGAATAGATCCGGTTTGGATCTGGTTGAGATAAATAATCTATGATGTAAATAAGGGATATGTTCATTAAAAGAATTTTATAATGTAAGAGAATAAAGAATAAAGTTTGAAAGTAAGACATAAACTAAAAGAGAAAATCTGGCAGGATAGAATGTCGAGATACTGATTATTGATATTTAAAGGGGGTATAGTTAAATTCTTTGTTTAACCCCTCGGGTGCCAGTGTTTTGAATTTGTATATTAACCTTGATTCCCTCTGGAGCGGTCTGAGATTAAAGTCACCTTTACGTGAATTCATGATTATTTTTTCCACAGCTTGAATTTGAAGGTTGTCATATTGGAGAATTCGCTGTCTAAACTGCTGATAAGTTTTGCTGATGTATTGGTTTCTACCACTGTGCCAGATTGATTGGATTTTTCTGCTTTGGATGATAATATATATTTGCAGGCCTTACAATGGTCACATTTGAAAGCTCTTTTGGTGGCTGTTAGCCAGATTTGATCTGGATTTATTATTTCTAGGAGACTGTGTACAAGTAGATTATGTAAGTTTTTCGATCTCCGAGCGGTAAGAGCTGGGTATGAGGGTAGGGATTCTGTAAATGAACACTATAGGCTCAGGAACACACACATGTATTCCTGACCCTATAGTGTTAAAACTACCATCTGGCCCCTGGCCCCATCATGCCTCCCTAAATATAGTATAATCTTACTTGTATTTAAGTCTGGAGATGCTTGCTTTGTCCCTGTTTCCTTTTGCCTGCTGACATTATCAGAAGTGGTGGCATGGGCCAATCACCACGCTTCCCCATAGGATTGGCTGAGACTGACAAGGAGGCAAATCAGGGGCAGAGCCAGAACAATTCAAACACTGGCCAATTAGCATCCCCTCATAAAGATTAATTGAATCTATGCATCTCTATGAGGCAAGTTCAGTGTATGCATGCAAAAAATGGAGACACTAAATGTTGTGTTGCATTTTAAACAGCAATGACCCAGGAAGGATCTCTAACAGCAATCTGATGAGTGGCCAGGGAAGTTATCACTTAGCTGTAATGTAAACACTGCATTTTCTCTGCAAAGACAGTGCTTACAGCAAAATCCTGAAGGTAATGAATCTACTCACCAGAACAAATTCAATAAGCTGCAGTTGTTCTGGTGACTATAGTGTCCCTTTAAGTACTTGATTGTGTGTTAAAATTGGCCAATTCTTTTTTAAAGTGTCTGTCATGGTTGACCAGCCGCCATCGAAAATGGCGATGCATCTTGTGATGACTTTTGCATTGCATTTATGTATATAGAGCTAAATCAGACTTTTCCCATCAATGAATTACAAAAAGATAAAGTTATATTGTTGCAGAATTCCAACAATGTAACTGAAATAAAATAAAACATTATAAGGCAAATCTGCAAAGCAAGGAGCATAATATCCTAAACTGACCCCTAAATGGTATGCATTAACAAATACTACTTGGAGTGAATCATATCGAACATTGCTTACTCGTCTACCCACAAGTAAACTCTAATGATAAAACAATACGTAAAACAGCTTTAAAGCTTTTTTCGAAGCAGGACTTAAAAAATAAATGTTTACTGCATACATACATTTATATACACGGCTTATATTGGTTTATTAAAACATTGTGTCTTTTAAGGACGATTTCTAGTTATTAATATTTGTTTTATTCGGTAACAGTTAATACAGCCCAGTATATCCTTTAACAATGGCTGCTGCTACTGAGGTCTAAGATATGCCCAAACCAGATTTTTTTTAATTAGCCCTGGTGAGCAGGGTCTACCAAAACCTTGGTACAAAAACCTGTAGCTTCAGCCTGGCACAGCTAGAAAATAGGGCCTACTCTCTTAAGTCTCAGTTTAATTCTGGATAACTAGAGGTCTACCCTTTGGACTACTTTGTCCCAGTCTATTTCGTATACCTGACACTTCTAGACACTGGGTGGAGCTACCGCCATCTAGAAGTGTCAATCTCCCAGCCACCACCAGTTGTTGTCAGCACATTCAACTATGTAAAGAACAAAGTATGTCAGAGGAACATTTAATTCAGATCTAGGATGTGTTATTTTTGTGTTCCCTTTATTTTTTTGAGCAGTGTATATATGTATTTTTTTAACATTCCCCTTAGCCCCTTTTTAATCCCCTAAAGTCCTAACCCTCAATACTGCCCCTTACTCCCTATCATTGCCCCCTATACCCCTACTATTGCCCCTAACCACCCCTACTGCACCTAACCCCCTACTAATGCCCATAACCCACTACTATTGCCCCATACCACCGCTTACTGCACCTAACCACCTACTAATGCTGAAAACCACCCACTAGTACTCCTACTATTGCCCCTAATCACCCACTAATACCCCTAGCCCCCTACTAATGTCCCTAACCACCCACTACTGCTCTAACCCTCTACTATTGCTCCTAACCACCCACTTATGCACAAAACAACCCACCACAGGTCCTAACCCCCTACTATTACCCCTACTAACCCTAATCTCCCACTGCAGGTCCTAACCCCCCCTACAGATCCTGACCTCCTGACAACTGCCCCTGCCCCCGTGCCACTACCCCTGCCCCCCCCACTACTTCCTCTTACCTCCTACTACTGCCCCTGATCCCCTACTACTGCCCCTGACCCCCCACTGCAGGTCTTAACCTACCACATTAGCCCCTAAGCCCATACTTCAGCCCTTAACCCTCCACTACAGGTTCTAACCCCTTATTTAATCCTCTAACCGCTCACTACACCCCCTAACTGCCCACTACACCCCCACTGCACCTAACATCCACTATTGCCCGTATCCATCACTACAGCCCCTTAGCCTGACTGCTGCCTTTAAACCCTCACTACATCCAGGGCCGGATTAACATAGGGGCTGATGGAGCTGCAGCTCCAGGCCCATGGAATAGGCCCATTGATTTAAAAAAAAAAAAAAAAAATATTATTTTTTTTTTTTACAAAGTACTGTTAGGGTTGCCAGGTATTTCTCATGTATTTCTTATGGTTGCCAGGTATTTCTCAGAAGTATTTCTCAGGTATTTGAGGCTGCCTAGCCGGTGCCAGTATTGCAGTAATACCGGCAATTCAAATGTCTGTCTCGGTATAAACAGAGATTATTCTGCAATACCAGCACCAGCCAGTAGGGGTCGCTGTTTGTGTGGAGAGAGGAAGGGATAATAAATTGCAGCATCTCCCTCCCTGCCTCTCTCTACTCACTGATCCACGGGGGAGCAGCTCTGCACAGAGAGTCCAGACAGCAGCTCTGAGCCTGCAAAACATGGGGACTGTGAGAGACTTCGGGATGCTAAGATTTTGGGACACTGGGAAACATAGGGACACTGGGGAACATGGGGACCCTGAGACATTAGGGACACAGTGGCCCCTAGTCTCTCAGTGTTCTCATGTCTCCCAGCCAGTGTCCCTAGTGTCTCAGTGCCCCCATGTCTCCCAGTGTCCCTGGTTTCTCTCAGTGTCCCTAGTGTCTGTGTCCCTAGTCTCTCAGTGTCCCCATTTATCTCAGTGTCCCCATGTCTCTAAGTGTCCCCTAGTGTCCTAGTGATATCGGGAAACTGGGAGACATGGGGATACAGACTCTAAGGGACACTGGGAAACATGGGGATACAAACACTAGGGGACACTGGGCGACATGGGGACACTGAGACACTAGGGGACACAGAGACATGGAGACACTGAGCGACTTGGAGACTTGGGAGATATGGGGCACTCCCAGTGTCCCCATGTCTCCCTGTCACTGTCCCTAGTATCTCAGTATCCCCATGACTCCCAGTGTCCCTGGTGTCTCTCAGTGTCCGTAGTGTGCCAGTGTTCCTAGTGCTTGCTAGTCTTCCAAAGTCCCCTACTCTCCCAGTGTCTCAGTGTCCCCATGTCTCCTAGTGTCTCAGTGTCCTCTAGTATAAAAGAAAATCTCAGGCACTCACTGTGATAGATTTAAGCAGGTTTATTGGACACTGCAACATTTTGACCTGTACCCAGGTCTTTATCAAGTCTCCAGTGTCCCCTATGTATCAGAGTGTCTCAGTGTCCCTGGTGTCTCTCAGTGTCCTTAGTGCCTCAGTGTCTCCTAGTCTCTCAGAATCCCCTAGTCTCCCAGTGTCCGCATGTCTCACAATGCCCCCAAGTGTCTCAGTGTCCCCTAGTATAAAAGAAAGAAATCTCAGGCACTCACTGTGATAGATTTAAGCAGGTTTATTGGACACCGCAACGTTTTGACCTGTACCCAGGTCTTTATCAAGTCTCCAGTGGCCCCTATATATCACAGTGTCCCCTATGTATCACAGTGTCTCATTGCCCCATGTCTCCCAGTGTCCCCTCATGTCTCAAAGTCACCCAGTGTCCCCATGTCTCCCAGTGTCCCCAAGAGTCTGTGTCCCCAGGTCTCCCAGTGTTCCCTAGTATCTCAGTGTCCCCATGTCTCCCAGTGTCCCCATGTCTCTCAATGTCCCCTAGTGTCTAAGTGACATGGGGACACTGGGAGACATAGGAACACAGACACAAAGGGACTGGGAGACATGGGGACACAGACGTGCCCCCTTTTTGTGTATGTTCGCCCCTTTCAGCAGAATGCTTATGTGATTTGTGTCAGTGGCCCACCCTTTTAACCCATCCATAGACTTCCTGCTTTACTGGACACTTCTGTTAGGGGGTATGGGTTTACTTGAAAGATGAAAGTGTGAGATTAGCATAGTGAATGTGTTTTCTCATAGCTGCATCCTATGAGTTTCCCTCCAGCACCATCTCCATCAGATACATGATGCTTCGGAGGTAGGACTATTAGTCAATAGAATTTTGTAATTAGGCCCATCATAATTGTCAGCACCAGGCCCACTGGGCTCTTAATCTGGCCCTGACTACAGCACCTAAACTCCTCCACCCCCCAGCTATATTGGGATGAGGGGAGGCTAACTTGAATCTCCCTTCCCATGTTGTACTAAATGGAAATCCCACTACTTCCTACAAAGATTTCACACACGTCACACATTGTCACACATAACACTCACAGCGGTCCAAACGTATCACTCACAGCTTCTCACACTGCCACACATACTGCTCACAGCTACCCACACGCACACACTGACAGCTATACACACATTACACAGCCTTATACATCAGACACAGAAAGCCACAACATACACTTCACACATAGTTACAACACTTTCAGCCACCCTACACAACACACACACATCAACTCAACATTATTAAAAATATTAACATTACCTAACAATAAAAAAAATAACATAGGTGGGCGAATCATATAGGTAGGACTTTGTGATGTCACAACATGGGGAGTGGGGGCGGCAAATTCTTTTTTTGCCTAGGGCGGCACAAATCCTTGCACCGGACCTGGTAACTGTGAATGCTTGTGTCAGTGTGTGTGTCTGTGTGTGTGTCTTCTTACATACCGTCCAACATTTCAAATAGACAAGGAGGGACAGTTTAATTTTAGAGGTGTAAGTGTGAATGTGGCCAGGGGCGAGGCTGTTCTGAGACATTTTACGTGACTTACTACTGACAATTTATACAGTCAAAATCTGTGTTTTAAAGGGACACTATAGTCACCAGAACTACTACAGCTGAACTTTCCACATAGAGCTGCATTGATGATTTGAGCCATGAAGGCAGAGCCAGTTGCTGTGAGACCGGTGCAGTGTTGGAGAAAAGGTAAGTAAAATAAATTTTTTACTAAGATGGGGACTGGTAACCTTAACAGCCACTTCAGGACTACAGTGTCAAGAATACATAATTTCTGATAGTGTAATGTTTCTTTAAGGCAAGAACAGGCTGATTTCTTTTCTTTTTTTTTGACAATCTAGTTTTTATTGGTATTCAAGGTTGTCTTGACATAACACAGAAAAAATAGAGCTGAAAGTGAGTCTTAGTTAAGTTGTGTGCCTCAAATAAGCGTCCATTAACATTTTAACGACCCTCTCCCCCCCCTCCACTCCCCGACCCCACCTCCTCCCAACCCCTTCTCAGAGCTATCTTAAATTTCTTTCTATGCTAGTGTTTTGTTTGCATCGTGCTGTTCTAATTTTACTGTGTGCTCCATCCGCACTTATTTTTCTGTGGTCTTGCGCATTAGCCTCAGTGTCTGGTCTTCTGTTATTCTTATGTCTAACTCGCCTAGTTAGGAGGCGTATGCGGCTGCCTATGGGTAGGTTGATGCGGACCCTGTGCCCTTCATCCGTGTGTTTGTGTCGATCGGGGCATATGTTGTATGTGTTTTGCTCTTTGACGTAGGCCGTCTATAGTATTCGCTACATGCTGTCCTGACTTGTGCGTTTTGGTTGCGGTTCCCTATCTTGTGCCTCAAATGTTTAGTTTTAGGGCACGTAACATCGGATGGCTTCACAGTGTTGGGGCTTTGGCTTGCCATTTGATTTCGGCCTGTTTATAGCTTTTGGGCTTGTGTGTCGGATATGGGCACGGGTCTAAGCGTCAAGTGTGGTCCACTGAAGTGCCGTGGTTGGCCTTTGGTGGTAGTTTTTGATGATTACCGTGGTTCACTGAGTCGTTGTATGCTCGTCTTCCCTACCGTTTGTGCGTCTCTCCCTAGTTGTCTTAGTGGTCCCCTATGTTTGATAGGATGTGGGTTGTGCTATCCAGAGTGTGTTCTCCCCCACCTCCCCCCCTCTCACTCCCCACCGCTGCTAGTGTGGGGTGGTCAAGGATCCTCTGTCCGGCGGGGGTCTCATCTCCCCCGGGATTTGTCTGTGTTGCCGTGACTGGCCCTACCTCCTAGTTGTCTCAGACCCATCTCCGCTTGCCTCCTAGTTCGTATGGCTTGGGTATCCCTTGCTACTCTTTCTTGTCCCTTTCCCTCTCCCGTCCCTCGTAGTTGATGATAGTGGAAATCATCCAGTCTTGTCGGTCTACTATCTGAGTGTTGAGTCAGTGCACCATTGCTGCAAGTATGTCCAATCTGACGCCGGAAAGTTCTTCAGATCTGCGGGTTTAAGTCCTCCTGCCAGTCTTGGGTTGTTGGTTATGGGGGTAAGCGGGTTCGGTGACGTAGTGAGTTGTTTGGCGTATCGTATCTTACACCAGACCCGCAGTGTGGAGTCAATCATCGGGTTTCCCGTGCGCATATCTCCCAGGACTGTGCCGCCCAGCCACAGCAGGGAGGGGATCCGTCCCTGTGCTTGCCGCGTCTCCATTTCTACCCATTGTTTGGTGGTCGGGTTTGCGTGCCAGTCCACCAATCGGCATAGGTGTGTCGCCTGATAATAGGAGAGCACCGACGGCAGTCCTGTGCCTCCTGCGTTTTTCGGCCGCTCCAAGATAGAACAGGCTGATTTCTGAACACATGTATTGCAGTTAAATACACATTATTGTGAGTATTATTATTGTGGAGTTCTGTTATACACTCAGCCACACCAACAATGTGGAGCTACTAAAAAAGAAGGACCGTAGGAAAGAAGAGGGACAAAGGGATTTTGGACCAAAATAGGAACTGGCAGTGTTTGTCAGTGACTGCTTGTAAGTGCATGTGTCAGTATTTGTGCCAATGATTGTATGTGTGTATATCACTGTGTGTGTCATCCAGTCTTCAAGTAGAACACTTGCTATGCATATTGTCCTTAAAGGGACACTATAGTCACCAGATGTACTACAGCTTAATGTAGTGGTTCTGGGGTTTGTAGCCTTTCCCTGCAGGTTTAGTAATGAACACACTGCCATCTCAGAAAAAATGCAGTGTTTACATTGTTGCCTAGAAACTTCTCTAGTGGCAGGTACTCAGATGGTGCTATCTATCTCATACATTCAGCATCTCCACCTTCTGCATGGAGGCGCTGAATGTTCCCCAAAGAGATGCATTGAGATGAATGCACAATAGCCTTCCAAAGTTTTCTTACGCACACTCCTGAACTATCACTATCAGTGAGCCAACACACGCAACAAGAATATACAAAGTCTGTACCCAGTGAAGGTGCAGAACAAAAGAGCTCTGACCACCAGGAATCTAAATATTCTCCCTCTTTGCCTCAAGGTAGCAAGGTAACAAGTAGACCTTATTGAAATTGTAAATATTGAGAAATATATTAAATGTGCTGCCTTAACCTCTCATTGCACACACTGCATATCTCATACCACGCTACTTCCCTACACACATAGAAGCATGTGCTGTTGTTTTCATTGCGGTCGATATTTTTATAATTGTTGATATTCTCTGGTAAAGAAAAGGATGCTTTTGTGATAAAAATGAGCCACTGAAACACCGAGCTTGCTACATACCATTATATTGGGGTCAGTGGATACTTAAGCTCAAATGCATCTGAGAAAATTTTAATCAAGACTTGGAAAATCTTTTAAATAATATTCAGTGGCTGGCTGACTGAATGTCGATAGAAATACAGAAAGATAAGTCCTGCACTCACTCCCATCATCCTGGGCGGCAGCAACAACTACAGTACACATCAGCCCCAATATATATAGTAAAAACCAAAGAAAAACAAGTTACCTGCGTTCTCTCCTTAATCCCCATGTATATTTAAACAAATGGAGGTCATTTAGTTACTCCAATGGCCATTGGAGGGAATGCCCTCCTGCCACCGTCAAGGCAGACCCCCCTAAGCGGGTCCTACACTGACCCTTCACCTTGCTTCCTTGTGCTTCTGGCAAAAATATCTCGAATGAGACAGAGGGGTATTTTTCATATACACCCCTATATATAATAGGGAACACATGGGATGGGCGGCAGCATTGTAACAAAGCTGTGAGATACAAAAAGTGAATTCAAATACAGAAAGATAAGTCCTGCGCTGAAGGGTCAGTGTAGGACTCGCTTAGTCTGCCTTGACGTTGGCAGGCGGGCATTCCCTCCAATGGCCATTGGAGTAACTAAACAACCTCCATTTGTTTAAAAATACATAGGGATTAAGGAGAGAGCACAGGTAACTTGTTTTTCTTTGATTTTTACTATATATATTGGGGCTGATGTGTACTGTAGTCGTTGCTGCGGCCCAGGAGTGATGGGAGTGAGCGCAGGACTTATCTTTCTGTATTTGTATTCACTTTTTGTATCACACAGCTTTGTTACAATGCTGTCGCCCATCCCATGTGTTCCCTATTAAGGGTTAATAAATATATAGGGGTGTATATGAAAAAATACCCCTCTGTCTCATTCAAGATATCTTTGCCAGAAGCACAAGGAAGCAAGCGGAAGGGTCAGTGTAGGACCTGCTTAGAGGGGTCTGTCTTGATGTTGGCAGGCGGGCATTCCCTCCAATGGCCATTGGAGTAACTAAATGACCTCCATTTGTTTAAATATACATAGGGAATAAGGAGAGAGTGCAGGTAACTTGTTTTTCTTTGGTTTTTACTATGAATGTCGATAGAGTTAAAGGATAATGAATTAACCATGAGTGAAACCGATGAACGAATTAGGGATAAGAAGAGGGCGAA